CTATGAGTCGGGGCCGACTCGACAGCAAATAACAACAACAATCATTCAAACTTCAGCTCTTCCATATCTCTATTTTTATTCCTTCAAACTCTACACCAAAACTAAGATAGAAAAGCTTTCCTTACTATGATCAGTTGAAGCAAAGCTGAAAATGTTGCTTTAGAAACAGATCAGAAACTATTTAGACCCAGATAAGTGACTATTCATAATAACAAACCTTTATACTTTTTTATATCAGTTTTAATAGGAATGAAAGAGGAAGTAAAAACAGCATATTTATTAGTGGTTTACATACCTGCCATGATGGCAAAAGTGATTGTAAGTTACATAAATAATACACTCAAGAACATTTTATATTCCTTCTTGGTGACTAGAGCAAGGCAATTTATAAAACAAAGAGTAACTATCCCCAAAGTAGGCATCAAAAACTAGTTTTGAGAAAGAAGATGAAAGGAGCATTCTCTAATTCCTGGATGCCAGGAAGCAGAGTTTTTCAGAATCAAAAAGAAAGAGCCCTAATTAAGAGCTCAAGTCCCCACCCCTCAGGGGTACTTAGTTGGTTGATTCTGTTGCTTTTAACTAATTGATTATTTTAACATAGCAAATGATTTCACCTTTTCTTTACCCAAAATTAAAACTAAGGACAACAACACATTATTAACACTCTTCAGAAATGCAAATATCCTGAGAGAAACCATTACCAGAATCTACACAGGGATTTGCTACTTAGATACAGTCAGTATAATTCATATTTTAAAGTCATTTCATAAAAATAACTGTTCCATCTTCCAAGTTCTGTTCTCTGTACGATCACTGAAGCAATCTGTTGTTAAGATTCTCCTTCGTTGCTTGAATGCAGAAAATGCTTAGTAAAATTCTCCAGCTCGTTTTCAAGTTGAACAGCTTTATTTCTAATTAAAAAATGATAGAACACCAATCATCATAAAGGTCAATGAGAAAAATGCATTCCATCTGATCTTTTTTTTTTTCCATCTGATCTTTAAAAGGAAAACTCACTAGCCAACTGATGCTACATTTATCGGAACTAAGATTCAACCATTACCAACCCTTTTCAGGGTATTAATGGTATGTGCTACTATAGCTTTGTAGTAAACAGACCCCAGTACGCAGGATCTAAAAAAGGTTACACTGAGAGAACAGACCATACCTTTAATAACAATAAAAAATGTATTAGTACAATCATACGATCTTACATGGGAATTACATCCTAAAATCGGTGCATAAACAAAGTCACAATCATAATTGCCTTTGAAAATTCCCTTTAACTTGAACATAAAGTCCAGAATAAGTGATTTTATGTGTATGCAAAGAAGCTAGCTTATGTGAAGGGGCCATGGTTTACCAAAAATATTTCTTCTAAATACTAGAATCATACCTGATGCTGCCCAAATACCTTTAATTAGAGAAGAGCACTGGAGCTATATAGAAGAGCACAGAACACAGATATGTGTGTTCCATTCTCATACTATGCCAGGGTACATGTTTATATTTTTGCTGAGTACATACAACAGAGGTCATATAAATTAAATATTCATATGCTATGAATTCCATTCTCTACCTATTTCTCAGCTCTCCTTAAATATGAGTTAAATTTTACCTGAATGAGTCTAACCTAGTAA